AGCTGCTTTAAGAAGCCCAATCATTAAAGTGCCTGCACCTCTTAAAACAGCTGCAACTATTTTTCAGGTTCCTGCAGAAACATGAAAAGTCACAGCTTGCTTTAATGAAGAGCACAGATGGGCCAGGCTTTTACAAGGTCAAAAACATTTTTGCCAAATTATTTTCAAAGCATGGATTTTATCTAGTTCAGAAATATTCTTAGGTTTTCTGCAATACTTCAGCAAGATTACAGTCCAAAACCTATTTCCAGATTAACCATGAAGTACTTACAGAAAAGACAGATAAAGTATTTGGAATAGCATTTGCAGTCCCCCACTTAAATATTGAAAATCTCTGGAGAGATCTCTGGCAGTTAATACATGCAAGGAGACCTAAGAATATTTCTGAGTTAGAAAAGTTCTGCAAAGAAGAGTGAGAAAAAAATCCTAGCGACGGGAAACATTTGAAAGCTGTTATTTCTGCCAAAGGAAGTGATTCCAGCTAAAAGGCTGTCCATGTCTGTCATATCATCTGTTTTCTTATTTTAACTCTGCAAGCAACTGCATAGAAATAGTAAGTGTACATTTACACTTGCAGAATTGATGTTGTGTTTAACTTTGTAACATGTAGATTCATTTTATGATTTTCCTTTTGTCAAAAGAAGAGGACTTTGGGATCTAATTCCATGGTGGAATGGTGGACAGAGTTAATCAACAAGTAAACTCTGAAGAAGCAGATCTTCCTGGAGAACAGTTCACACAGGTTACAATCCTCACAAGGGGGACAATGACTCCACAGTGCTCTTCGACAAGCCCACACATTATGTTCCAGGAATTTTGTGCCAGGCAGACAAGTGGCTGTTATGTGCCTAATAGCTCGGAAGGTCTGAGCATAGCAGAAAACGATCAGGAAAAGATCTGCCTTTCTGATTTTTTACTCAAATACATTAAATATTTTCTGTTAGGGAAATTTCCCACTATTGATCTCTATCCAGGGCAGCACCAGGATCCCATTTACTTTCCAGATCAGGCCTGATTGTGTTTTATTAAACAAAACACACCAAACATTAGATTTTTTTTTTAATCTTTCTTTCTTCGTGTCTGTTGACCAAAAGCAGGCTACACCCCAAACCTGGGTGTATACAATCAGAAGCAAAGAAAGAAAGAAGGTAAAGGTCATAGAACTGAAAGTTGTTATTAGACTCACAATTGGCGCCACCCAACAATTTTTCTCCAGAATGATACCGAGAGGTGCAAAAATCAGTGGGACTAAAAAAAATAATGTAATTGCAGGGAAATGATGAATTGGTGGCTCACACTAACTGACACTAATTGCAGGTTTCCACAATTTTGATATCTTGGATGAGGGACTGCCGGGTCACAGGTATACATTCTGTCACTGGTCTTGGTAGTTGAGTGCACATGTACAGAGTCAAGCATGTGTTGATATTGTATCTCCTTTTTTTTTTAAACTTACAATTAGCATCCCACTCACGCGGCACTCTTATGCAGCCCACAGTTTGCACACTGAGTTGCAATAGCCCTGTCCATATTTATATAAACCCCAATGAACTGGCCAACTCACTTACAGAATACATGGCTCCATAAACTATAGGGATAATTTAGGAATGCGTAGGAGAAGAATCTCTCTCCCTAAATAGTCAGATTTGCTCTTCAAAAAGGACTGAGGATAAAGATCTTTTCTCAGAGCTTTTAATTAATTATCAAGCTTTATCTGATTGCTTGTTTCAGGTCACTGTAGGCATTCCTCCAAGTAATGGGGGACAAAGACTAATCAATTTTACACACCACGAGGCTTCCTTTTGATCTCTTCAGAAATAGTGGGGGGATCCTACTTTAACCCCCATCCAACTAAGAACAACTTAAACCTGCCTTCTTCATGGGCTGGGGATAGGATGACAGCAATGTCATGGAGACCCAGCAGAAGGAACATGGTTGCCAGGACATATCTGTGCCATGATTAGATGCAAGTGGGAATGTCCTGAATCCATGCGTGGCCGTGAACTCTTCCACCTTGGTCTCTCAGATGTTCTTGAGAAAGCTTATCATGAACAACTTTCTCCCTAATAGAGAAAGCTCTATTAACAATGGATCTAGATTTTAGCCATACTTGTTAAGAACATAAGAAGAGTCCTTAAGCTGGATCAGGCTAAGGGCTGATCCAGTCCAGCAGTCTGGGTCACACAGAGACATCTAGCTTCTACTGCTGCTCACCGGCAGCGGGCATTCAAGGGATCCTGCCTGTGGTCACCATTGATTCCTACTGAATTTGTCCACTCCCCCTTTTTAATCATCTCTATTGGTGGCCATCACCACCAACAGCAGCAGATTCCACACCTGACCGGCATAATGTATGAACAAATACCCTGCATTTAGTTTCAGTGGATGATCCTGAGTTTTATCACGGGGAGGAAAAAAAATCTCTGTCTACATTTTGCACACCCTGCACTGTTTTTATATACCTCCATTAGGTCACCAACAAAAATAAAGAGGCCTTCCAATAATTGTAAATCATGAACTGCAAATTTTAAGAGGCAGATGAGTTAAACACTATCGTTCACAGAACTGAATTCCAGAAACTCACATAAGACTTTAAGAAAAAAAAGTATTAAGAGCACATTAGAAATCCAAGGAACTTATCATTCTTACAGATTTCATTTTCTTACCTTGTGAATCCAGCTACATCTTCCCCGTGTATCTGTGACAGACACAGTCTTTCCACAATGACTGGTGGATTTTTCACCCCTATAAAGGCATGGTGATGGCTGTATTTGAGTAGAAATGTGCTGATCTAAGAGTTGGTGACTTGGATTTAAAAAGAAATACTCAGCACACTTTTTTTTTAATGTGAGCAAAATGGATTTTCATTTTAGGGTTGCCCCATCTCCTCCTCTGGCCCTAGAGTCACCCTTCAGAGTTCATCATCAGGGCTGCAGGATTGCACCTCTCAATCTCAGGACCACTGCTTATTTTAGTTTGCTGTCCTGAAATTTTACTTCTCCCCATCTTGTAGAGGCAGTTGCCAACAAGTATAGTTCTAAGTTTTCCCTAATCACATTTTACTGGTAGGCAGCAAAAATATAGGCTTTAAATATAAAAAGGGCCCTCTTACTCAATTTTCAGCAATGCCAGTGATCTAGGAAGTAGAGTACAGCCAGGAGAAGATCTGAAGGGTTGTCCTCACAGCCAAAGAACAGGTGACAAGTATGGACATTTTGTAAGCCAGCCATTCCTATCTGAGGAACTGCCAGATGAAATAGAATACAACTTCCATAATTTTCAGCCAAGATGGTCAATGGCTGAGAAATCATGGAATTGTATGATATTTGTGTCCAACAAAACTAAAAGGCACCAGATTGAAGAATGTTGCCTTAGGATTAAGTTGGGTTATCAAATAACATATTATATTTAATTAAGTGATTTGTATAGATTCTGCCCTGATAAAGGGATATTTATTGATGAAGAATATCTGATAGCACCCCCAAATTTGAAGTTTTTAGTGTTCTAAGCTTCACAGCAAACAAGAGAGCCTTTAGAAGCCCAGACTGATTGCTTCCCAACTGGCTGGAAATGGATCAGTTTACAGAATTAAATACTTGCAATATGATTATTTTGGTAAAATTACCTCTTTGATGAAGTAGAAGACAAGTACCTGTCTTGTCTTTTCATTAAAAAGAATGACAACTCTCCTTTTAAATAAAAACTCTCGTCTAACTTTAAACTTAGTGAAGACCTTCCTACCGACTTACAATAACTTCAGATTGTGTTCAGCATAGCATTTGGAATTCAGAACAACCTTAATCAGGCAATAAATGATGATTCAAGTTTGAAAGAAAAGCTTAATGCCTTACTCCACTCGGTTGCTGGTACTTGGCACTATAAAAATTCCATTGAATCATAGAAGGTGCAGATGCTGTTTTATAGGTGCAGGGAAGAGTGATGTTTGCACCCACTGTTGTGTTCACAGACGTCTCTGGGATGGTCACAACCACGCCCTTCGCAAGACCTGTGGAAAATCAATCCATGATGGAAAAGGTCAATCAGGGGTCTAGTTGTATTAAGGACCGAAATGCTGCCCCTTTCCAATCCCTCAGTATCGGAGATCGTAGCCCTGGTTTCCTAGCCATTTGAGGTGCATCAGCCAAATGTGGGTGTTTGGGATCATATGCCAACCTGATGGAGTAATTGTGTGTAGCCATGTATCTAGCGACAAAATCCAGGAGCCGAGCTCATGGAAGAGGTAATGGGACAGAGATCAATAGCCTTGACATCAAAATCTGTCTCAGAACAGGCAAGCCAATAGACCTCTATGAAGGGAAGGGGGAACAGCCACCAGTAGACGGTGGTGTCATCATGCAAATGATCCAACTTGCATAACCTGCATTATTGGTGCTATGATATCATGCTGCATGTGTCTTCCTTCTGACACCATGAGAGTCTGTTACAGATGCCTATGGACAAGCTAGACCCCGTGAAATATGGCATGTGGGGTGGTCAGTCACAGACATGGCCCACATGCTAATTTTATAGTTTTTATTTTAAAGATTTTGATATATATATCAATTGTGAAAATGAACTTCAGCATCAGAGCAATAAAAACCAAATCTAACTCATAACCATAGTTCAAGATTTAATTTAGTATATTAAATTGAAAGTGTCTCTTTTTTCCCAATGAAGATTAACAGTTGCTGTAGAACTATAACACCCAGAAATTCTACCCAACAGGAAGAAAGCATTGGCCATATCAGAACTGTAAACAGTTGCAGACTATAAAACAGCTGGTGGGGAAGAGATGTGTTAGTTGTATTTTGCACAAATGAGGCAATAAAATCCATTGTTGCCCAAAGGGAATTCTCATAAGACTGTATAGGCCAGAGTCTATACTTGCCACGAGTGTGTGACACAATCAGGTTAAATGGAGATACCAGGTGTGCAGGTGTTCATTGGTGAAGTGCTGTTGACATTGACTCCTAGTGCCCACATAGATAGTCCTTCTCCAAGATGAGCTGCTTCCAACTCGGCTTTTAAGGTTTCCCAGTGGTGTAACTGAGTCCATCCCCCTTGCTGCTGGTTGTCCTCTTCTTCTCTTTCCTTCCACTTTTACTAGAATTGTGGATTTCTAAAAGGAGCTGTGTCTTCAGGTAATGTGTCCAAAAGATGATAGTTTGAGCCTGGTCATTTGTACCAAGAATGATAATTTTGTACTGAATTGTTCTATGATCCATGTGTTTCTTTTCTTGGCTATCCATGGTGTCTTCAAGAATCTTCTCCAGCACCAAAATGCAAAGGCATAAATAGTCTTTCTATCCCACTTTTTCAAACTCCAATTTTTGCTTTCAGAGAATGTCACAGGGAAGACTATTGCCTGCACAATTCTGATCTTTGTAGGTATGGACACATCACAACATCTAAATATACTTTCCAAGTCCTTCATTGCTACCCTACCAAATGCTAGTTTGCATCACATTTCTTGACCTCTGGTTGCTTTACTGTTGACTGTCAGTCCTAAAAGGCAGAAACTATACACCAATGTCTTCACTGTCAGTTCTAAGAAAGATTGCTGTACCTGCTGCCATTAGTTTGTTCTTCTTTATATTTAATTTTACTTCCATTCTTTTCATTCTGCTATTTGACTTTCATGACCAGAGCTTGCAGATCATTTCCATTTTCAGCTATCAGAATAACATCATCACCATAGGGTGGTTATTGATGTTTCTTCCTCCAGTTTTAAAACCATGCTCATCTTCTTCCAATCCAGCTTCTCTCATATAGAATGAATAAATAAGGAGAGAATATATAGCCTTTTCTCATTCTTTCACTGACCTGGAGCCGGGATTCCCGTTCTCCTAAGGACGTACCATAATTTTATATGGTTGACACAATCAAAGGCCTTTCTATATTCAGTAAAGCATATATTGACTTAGTTTTTATATTCTTTGGCTTTCTCAGTTCTTCATTGTGATGCTTCTTGTTCCTCAACCTATTCTAAAACCAGTTTGAAATCTGTCATTTCCTTTTCCATGTAGCTGTACTTTGTGCTGGATGATCCAAAGCATATTTGAAATTAAGGATACTATGGAATAGTTTATACAGTCTGTTAAGTCTCCTTTCTTTAGACTGACCTCTTCCAATCAGTTGGCCACTTGTGTCATTCTCCAGATTTTCAGCAATAGTTTGCTTAGAGCCTTTGCTTGATTCTTCTTTTATTGCTTGTCATAATGTCTGTAGATATTCCATCAGTTCCTGACTTGGTAATGACCGGGGCTGATCTAACTTCATCTTTTAGAGGCTACTGTAGATATCATCTAAGCATCTTGGGTGTTGATATCCTTACTGCACAGAATTTCAATATATTCCTTCCATCTTTGCTTGACCCTCTTTGAATTGGGTATTATCTGTCCATTAGCATGTCAAATTGAGATTGGAACCTCCTTGGAGATCTTTTAGATAAATCTCCTTGTTTTTTCAGGCCTATTTCCATCTTCAGTATCTTTACAAATGTTGTTGTAATACTACTCCTTTTCTCTTCCAACAGTTCTCTGTTTTGTTTTGTTTTGTTTTTCCATCCTGAGACCTTTGCCTTTCTTGATTTTGGCTTCTCTCCTCTTCTCTTCCTGGCAATTTCCACGATCTGTTCTGACATCCAGCTTGCTTTCTTCTATTTCTTGATCTGTGGCAGTTCCTTTTTATATTCATCTTTATATTCATACATTCATCTTTAACAACTGTTTTTTTTTACTTCATTTCATAGTTCTTCTGATTCCCCTTCAGTGAAGTTCAGGACTTCAAAGCAATTCCTAAAGTTCTTGAAAATGATGGAAATATGCTCACGATCATATCATGGAACCTAGCTGGCTTTGTTCTTCTACCTTGACTTGACTTGGAACTTGCATGTGAGCAGTATGTGATCTTCCACAGACAGCCTGTGGTCATGTCTTTGCTGTTAAAACTGAATTTTCTACCTTCTTGTAATAAAAATATAGTCATTCCAATTTCCATCTGTTCCATCCGATTATATCCATGTCTGTAGGAATTATTGTGGTTGTTTGAAGAATGTATTATCAATGAAGAAATCATTGGATGGCTAGAAACTGAGCAGTCATTCTCCTATTCCATTTCTGTAGTTTCATTCAGATGTGCAGTGGGTAACAGTCAAGGGTTAATTTTCTACTTTTCTTTGCTGCCATCTAGAGGTTGGCTTTTTGCCACCCAGAGATAGCATGCGTAGGTGAAAATGCTATTGTTCTGTGGATTTATTTTGCAGGAAAGGGAACAATTGCTGAGTAGGGTGTGAGGGCCATGTTTGGCATTTGTTTTCTATGAGCATTATATTTAATTTTTGTCTTTTTGTTTTTGCTTGGGATTTTTATGAATACATTTTGAAGGTACTGTTTTATTATTTTAGCATAAAACACTTGACCTCTTGAAGTGTAAAATAATGCACATTCATAAAAGAAAAAGTGGTTTTTCCTTGCTTTGATACAGAATCACACTTTGGTAGACTCAGATATATGGCCAGGCTGGCTGGGCAATTCTGGGAATTAAAGTCTACATATCTGGAAGTTGCCAAGTTTGGGAAAACTGATTTAGATGGTTCTGTTTTTTCAAATGGGAATAATACAATCAGTACTATTAGCTGTTGAATGGCAAGCAGATGGATATGATGATCGAGGAGACTAAGCGTAATGGTATATGGGAAAGACCTTGGGAGACGGGGCAAAGAGAAACTGCCAAGGGAACGCTCAGATAAGAGAGGGTATAGCCCGCAGTTGGATAGTGAGTGGGGCAAGAGGCTCAGAAGGGACCCTCCCTAGTTTCTCGGGCTGTAAAGAAGACAGCAGGAGAACTGTCCTTTCAGACTTGCAAGATTCTGTTAATGTAGCTGTACCATAAAGTTGAATTAGCTTATCTGGCCGTGTTTCCTGTCTGGTCTACCTAGTAAGGCTGACATCAATCTTGCAAGTCTCAAAGTATAATTCTCCTGCTGTCTCCTTTACAGCCCAAAAACTTAGGGAAGGTCCCTTCTGAGCCTCTTACCCTTCCCACTATCCAGCTGAGGGATATGCTGTCTCTTATCTGGCCATTGGCATCTCTTCGCCCCATCTCCCAAGGTCTTTCCCACATACCATTACACTAAGACCAAAAGTCAAAATGACAGTCTTCCCAGCTAAGTATTAGACTGCAGAATCACCACTTCCAATGTTGTGCTTGTTCCATGCTAAGACAGATTCCACATGCACCCCTTCAGACATTATGCTAAAGCAGATTGCCACACACTTTGGTTCACAGGCGATGGGAGATCTCCAAGGAATGATAGGACTGGAGACTATGCAAGGGAGGATCCCCCAAAGAGGCAAATGCAAACTACTTATATATTCCTGTCAAGAAAACAACCTAGATATGTCCTTGAAGTCACAAGGAGTCAAGTTCAATTCCAGTTCAGTTCAAGGGAGTCTTTATTTTTATGAATTAAATAAGTCAGACAGGAGTGCTGATCTAGGAAATGTGCAGAAGTAATCTGAGACTTGCCTTGTAGGATGCGAAAAACAAAATTAAAGCATACAGGGCCCTGCCAGTAAATACACCGAGCAGTGGGAGGTTTTAGATAACAAAAGTCAACCTAATAATCTCACAGTGAAGGCAAATGAGAGAGCAGGTGGAAGGTCTGTGGTCAGGTATTGGAAAGTCCTGTTCTTTGCTTAAAAGCAGCAGTACGAAAACTCTACTCAGTGAAGTCCCTAGAAATTAAGTGCAACTCAAGGGAACCTTTACCTCTTCTAGGATGACCCAACTAAGATCAAGGCAATTAGAATAGGAAAGGGGGTAACAAGCCAAGCCCCCTGCAGAACCCCAAATTTGCCAGTTACCCCTTTTGCATAAGTAATGTTGAGGGATGGGGGTGGAAGAAAAATGAGGGGTTACTAACTCTCCCTTGGTGGCTTCTTGCATCACTGAAATGCCATTGTGGACAGCATTTGAGGCCCCGACTTAACACTCAAGTAGCTAAGAGAAGGACAGGCTGGGTTCACCCATCTGATGAGTCTTAATGGGACTCTTTGGTTTAAACCCAGCCATGGTGGGTTACAAATTATATTGGATGGATTAATATCCTACTTAACCCTTGGTTGACAAGTTGTGGTTAAAACAAACCATGGCTTATTGCAGTGTGTACCTTGCAGTATAGAGTGTGTTTGCATGGCACACTAAGCCACGGTTTCTCAACCTCAGCAACTTTAAGATGTGTGGACTTCAACTCCCAGGCGAATTCTGGGAGTTGAAGTCCATACATTTTCAAGCTGCTGAGGTTGAGAAACACGGCACTAAGCCATTCTGGAGAGTTGCCACCATCTTCCCTGTAACCTTTCAACCATGATCTGAGGTTTGAAGCTTATTGTGTCAACCAAACCTTGAGCAACCATCAACTCCAATTAGCTCAAACTAGACTTAGAAATCCAGAAACTGACTCTTTCCTCTAAGGGAAGTAAATAAGGAAGAGGGGAATGTTCAGGTGAAATACTTTGATGGTCAGCCCACCCATAACCACGTATCTGCCCCTGAAGCATTTCCTTCTGCTCCATTCAAAAAATAGGAAAATTAAATGTGCAGGAGAAATCAGTGAACAGCGGCAGCCATGGTGGGGGGAAATCAAAAAAGTCAAGTTGGTGGTTGGGCTATGTGATCAAAGCTCTGCTTCTTTTTATATGTGTTGCGCATGAGAGGTGGGACTTCCATCACGCAGGTCCCAGCTGCCATCTTGACTTTTTGACCCCACCCCCACGGCCACCCCATCAGTGGAGATTGGGTGTGCCACCCTGCTCCACCAGAAATGGATTCCAATGAAACTTAGATGCACAACTTTCCCCAAGCTAAGGACTTCCTTTAGCTGTGGAATGGCACAGTGGGGGCCACATCCCCCCCAAAAATCTGTGGGGCCAAGACAAAATAAAATTTTATTTTGTTGCATTTACCTTAACATTTAATTAAGGTCATAGAATTCCTCTCTAGTCATGAAGAAATAATGTTTGCCAACTCTCCCATTAAAACTGTATTTTGGCCATAAAGTCTGAGGTGCCCTGGAAACCACACTCACAGCTTGGGGGATCAGGGCCAGGCCTGGGGAGGCAGGCAGAGTCAGCCTGCCCATCTCTGCATGAAAGCAAATCCAACCTTTACCAGGTTCCATGGCTTCGAATGTCAGATCCACCCTTCTTCCCTTTTTTGAAGCCCCTGCTTTCATAGCCTCAGATACTCTGCCTGCCAGGATGATGGAAACAGTTGAGATCAAGGATTCTCATCCCTGCTTGTGTTCCCTTAAATAAGCTTTTCTTTCTGTCCAGGTTAAAGCCTACCGACTAGTTTTTGCTCCGGCTAGATGCCTGCCCTCAGGAACACTCACATACACACAAAAATGGCCTTCTCTGGATACGTCTGAAGAGATCAACCCAGACGCTGGGTTCTCTACAATGAAATCCTCTGGACTAGAACCAAGATCAGCCCCATGCACAGCACATAAGAGCAGTCAGGTCTGGAAATCTGCACTTTTTACACCACAGTGCTGAGGTAATTTTCTTTCTGGAAAGGATGGAATTGACAGCACAACCAAAGCTGATAATAGTCGCTCTTGGTGGACACCTCTGGCTTGGAAACCAGAGATCCAGAAGTACCCCACTCGCCTTTCTTCCAGGAAGATGTGCCAGAATGAGGGGCTGTCTCTTCCCCAATGGTGGCTCTTCAGAACCTCCATCCTGCCCAGATTTACTTTCAGTATATTGCCCACACAGGTTGACCTCATGTGGAGAGTTTCTAACCCTCTTCTTAGTTGGTCCTCTCCAGTCCCAAGAAGTTGCATTTATATATTTATTTTCCTTCCCAGATCACCCCACTGTCCAGTGAGCACTTGAGTTGACACACAAAGGAACCCATTTCTTAAAACATGCATAAACAATTTTTTAAAAGCCATGGGAAGCACGTAACCATTTGCTCAATAAACCCAAGGATTCAGAACAAAATCAGAGTGGCATTAATGTCTGAAATTCTGGAAGAAAAGCATCTTGTTATGGCCATCAAACACCCCCAAAAGAAAAATGCCTAGCCTAGAAAGGCAACTTCTCCACCGGGATCCTGCTATCCAAGCGGAATTCCAACAGCATCCAGGAGAATTGCAGGAATAAAAATGCTTATCCTTCTGAAACTGTGAATCCTCCAAAATAGAATCACAGAAGGAGATACCTTTGAATGTCCATCCTCAATTTTTCTACATCCCGGGATATCACATTCATGTTTGGACAGACACGTATGTCTTAAAAGGAAGGAAACAACCATTTCCCCCTGGTTTTGTATTTCCCCTTGTCTTACCCAGAACTGCTGTCAGAGTAGCCAAAATCCTCAGCATGGTGGCTAGCGTCTTCATGTGCAGGAAGCAAAACCATGCAGAAGATGCTTCCCTGAGAAAAAGCAAACCCAAAATGGAGTTTGGGGGATGCAGGCTCTTACATGTACTTATCAGCAAGGCCAGTCAACAGAAGAGTTGCCTCCTTCCTACGTTATCAGATACATTCAACAGTTCTCCGGCTACCTGTATAATTGGCTGAGCCGAAATGATTTTCTGAGGTGTGGACTGTTGAAATATTTGTTAATCATAAACTAAGAGTTCAATGAGGCGTATATGGCTGGATGGTGGCACCCTTAAAAACACCGAGAGAATAGGTCTGTAGCAACTCTTCTGAACCTTCCTTTCAGCTGCAATTGCGCGCATGGCACATACATGGGCTTATAAATTTGCGTGTGCCTAAACATGCTTGATCACCAATTGGTGGTACGCATAACTTTGCACGGTAGGTGAATCCAAGCAACCATTATTAAGGAAGCAGTGACAGTGCAAGCCATTGAAGTTTATGGTATAAATCATGGTTTACAAATCAAAATGGCAAAGTGCAGACATCATACTAAACCAAACTACGCAAGCAACATTATGGCTTAATAATTCAATGTATCTAAACATCTGCATTATACACACTTAAAAAAAAAGATTCCTATTCATTTAGGGTCACTCCTGCCATGCATTTTAATTTCATTTTTGTATTATGAACATCATTCTTTTGGCAGATTTTCTAAAGGTTTGGGATACTCTTTGAAGAAACTATCATTTAGGCACATGGTTTGTTTTTGTACTAGAAATAAGGTTGTTTGTGAGGCCAGATAAACAGCAAGTTTTCTTTGTCATCAAAGGTATAACTGGATTTGACTTGATTCAAGAAGAAAAATAGTTTTCTTTCTCATCTGAATTTGGACATAAAATAGGGCTAGATAGTTTATTTTGTCTTTCCATGAATTGGCAATGAGATTTCTGGTTTTCAACTTTTCCCCCCTTGACCAACCTAAATAAAAACACTAATTTATTTACAGAGGAGGAAGAGCTCCCAAACTAGACAAATGAGCATCAAAATAACAAATTTTGGAATGGGATACATACTTTCATTCAGAAGATTTTAAAGATTAATATCCAATCAAAACCAGAGACTTTCTTTTTGGGCTTGATGGATAAACAGTTGGAAAAAAACCTATGGAACTTTGTTCTTATATATGAGAACAGCAGCAAGGCTCTTATATGCACAGAGGTGGAAAGTTGAGATACTACCTACAATGGAAGAATGGATGGTGAAGCTGGTGAAGATAGTGAAATTGACAGCTTTGATTCGAGATAAGACGTTGTGTAATTTTAATGCTAATTGGAAACCTTTTGGGGACTTTTTGCGGGAAACAGAAAAAAATGAAATTATGTTGTATGGATTTGATGATTTGAAATAATATGGGTTAATAGAAATAATGGAAGTTGTGCTGTATCATGGTGCTGGAGAAGACTCTTAGGAGTCCCTTGAACTGCTAGAAGGTCAAACCAGCCAATCCTAAAGGAAATCAACCTTGACTGCTCATAGGAAGGATTGATAATGAAGCGCAAGCTCAGATA